TCAATAGAGTTACAATACCTACGAGCGTCTGTCACATTGTCTTACAGCATTTGACACATTTCTAACCATTGAAATATTTAAATGTGTAGTATGCTCTTATTTAAATATGATAATCTGACCGAAAATATGGGGGTATGTGTACGTGGCTTGCAATTGCGATAAAAGTTAATCAATACAGTTTCGTGCTAATTTTTAGGTTCAGAGACAGCGAAAAGCTCTTCGTAAACAGAAAAACTTCTACCATTTGCTTATACAGTATGTGATCCGTTAATGTCAGTACCAGACGTACTACGTGTGGAGAGGTGGAAATATCTCTATCGCCATTTCGCCCTAAGGAAGGTCGCCGAATAACGACCGAAACGTTGGCAACCATGCCTAGGTCGCGGCATCTCCGGAACAAGTAGATACTGACCCCGGCCGCGGAAGCCTACACTTTCAGATAGAAATGCCGCCTGTGCATTATGTTCAACACCGCTGAACCTTGATGTGATCAACTATAATTCTGCGGGGAATGGTTCTGTGTTTACCGTGACAGTAAATAATCTTTCTAAGTGGAAGCTGTTGATGACATTAACTCAAGAGTTGTGAGTTCATACAAACTTCTTACTAATTCGTTACAAGCATTTCTTAAAAGTGTGGAAAGCTTCACGGTTTTACATCCCACTCTTAAGCAGGAGCCATGATCGTTCCCATTTCAGGAGACTCAAACGCATGAGCGAAGCCTCTATCGTTCTAATTTCAGTGTACAGAATACTACGGGGTAAGAACTCCGACTGAGGTGTTGACTGTTGGGCCAGACAGTGCAGGGGCTGCCCTCTCCCCTTCTCCTCTTCCAGCTGTTGCGCCTTCCGCCTCACGGTGCTCGTCTGAACATCCTTCTTAAGGCAGCTCCACACATTCGGCATTCGCCTGAAAGCGGCTCCACACATTCGGCATTCGCCGAGCAGCGAGCCCAATCCCGAACACCTGATGTGTTCGGCGAATGTTCGCTCCCTTTGAAGTGTTCTAAAGACCGGCACGCGGTGGCCAGTGCGAATACAGATTGTTCGGCTCTCGCCGAATAGCAAGTAACCCGTCCACACTATTTGGGATTCAGCGAGCGGTTCCCGTATGCCGCATGTGTGGAGACACCTTTATAAAAATTACTGATAGTTCGCCTCCGCATTATCATAGAAGTGCCACAGCGCATCAATTAAAAAGCAAAGAAATTGTATACGTAGCAACAATCTATTTATTAATTATTAAAACCTCTTAATAGTATAGGTTATACATTTACTGATGTTTTCATATTTTAAAGTGGTAAATAGATTTTTTGAAAGAATTTAGCTGCCTGCTGCACAGTGTAATAGTCCCGCAACAGTCAAATATCTTAGAAAAATTATTTGCGAGCGAAAAAAAAATGCTTCTTGTTCTGCACTTCAAGGATTAGACTGCTACCTGTTCCGTTTTCACATATCAAACCATCTTCTGCCTGGTTTTCCTACACTCCTTCTTCCTGTTGGGTTGTACTGCAGCACTTGTTTTGGTAGCCTATTGAGCTCCATTCTCAGCAAAGTACAACCTTTTACTCCCCTTAAAAATTTCATCTCTGTAGCTTGAATATTCATTTTTTCTTTTTGAGAGAGAATCCTACTCCCATACAGGACTACTCGTGTTGCCATTGTTTTATAAAATTTTAACATTGTGTCTTTTCTTGTCTTATTTCTTAATGTTCTATGTAGCGTGCCATATATATTGTGCAATTTATTTTTTATATCTTGACCCTGTCGTAACTTATATCACATCCCAGATAATTGAAATGTGATATTTGTTCTATTGTTTGGTTTTCCAGGCATATCTTTGTTCTAATTGGATAAACTCCTTTAAAAGCCGTGACCTTCGTTTTTTGTTTTGATATTTTCATGTTATAAGTTTTACACATTAGATTTAATTGATGGAGTGCCATTTGGAGATAATTTTCCTTTTCGTACATAAAAACTTCGTCATTAGCAAATAGCAGAGTATTAATATAATTATTTCCGTTCATTCTGATCTCTTGTTTTACTTTTAATTTCCATTCTCTAAGAATATCGTCTATATAGATGTTAAATAATATTGGGGAAAGGCTGCAACCTTGTTTTAACCCTTGGTTAGTTTTTAATGGTTGTGATTGATGTGAATTTATTTTTATTCGGATTTTTGTATTTTTATATAAGCTTTTATCTATATTTATTAAATGTTTTGGAAAGCCTCTTCGATCCATTATGGCTCCTAATCTCCTGTTTACTCGGTCGAAAGCTTTTTCAAAATCAATTAATGCAATGTGCGTGTCTAAATTAAACTCTCTTCTTTTCTCTATTATTTGGTTCAATATAAAAACGTTATCTGGACAGGATCTTCCCTTTCTGTAGCCATTTTCTTCTTCTAATAATATAACTTCAGCTATCGTCTTAATCCTCTTTTGAATCATTTTACTGTAGATTTTATATGTTGTGTTTAAGAGGATAAAACCTCTACTATTTTCACAGCTACTTCGATCCCCCTTTTTAAAGACAGATATTATTAGGGCTGTTTTTCATTCTTCTGGAATCGTACTTCTTAGCCAACATTGATTGTATGCCTTAATGTAGAAAAGGGCTTCCATATTTTAGTAATTCTACGTTTATATTATCTATACCAGTAGCTTTTCCACATTTCATTGTTTTAATACTTGTAATAATTCTTCTATTCATGATGTTCTTCCTTTTCTTCCAGTGGGTTGAACTATAGATTATTATAGTGTGGTAGCCATTTTTCCTCATCTACAACGTTTAATTGAACGGTATCTTTTTTTATTGAGTTGTCTCATTACTTTATACGCTAGTACTTACTTCCCATGAATATCATTTTCTATTCCATTTATGAAGTGATCCCAGGCATCCTGATGCGCTATACGAGATAGCCTTTTGACTTCATTTCTATAGCAGTAATCTTCTTTCTTAGTTTCTGCATTTCGTGTTTGATGATATTTCAAGCATGCTTTCTTTTTCTCTGCCACTGCTTCTTTAAGTTGTTCATTCCATGCTCTGAGTCTTTTTCTTTTTTCTAAACTTATTTTTCTTTCCGAGGATATAAAAAGCTGCTTTTTCTATGCAGGTTTTAATATTTTCCCATTATTTCTCTACTTTATCTCTTGTTGGTAATTTTTCTAAATAATTATCTAGTCTTTAAAAAATGCGTATTTAATAATTTTCAAACATCTATTCAATGATACCACACATGACCCAATCCCATCCTCTGGAGGTGAGGCGGTGGGCAACTTCGAAATGTTCAATGGAAACTTCCATTTTTTTATTGTAGATTCGGATTCGATGCTACAAAATACGTAAGTTTTATCTGATACTGTTTTTTTGATTCTTGACGGATGGCGCTATAGTGGGAGAAATACGATTTATCTTGATACCTTAGGAAAATTATGGAAATGGTCTAATATCTCGAGTAATACACATCGAATCAAAACAAAATAATTAGTGTTTAATATTAAAAAAATATTCAATGATACCAAAATTGACCCCCTAACCCTTGGGGGTGTGGCGGGGGCACCTTTGAAATGTTAAATGGAAACCCCCATTATTTGTTGCAGATTCGGATTCTCCATAAAAAAGTAAGAAAGTTGAATATGATTTTTTTTTTGAATCGCAATAGACGCGATATTTTTTCTAAGATATTTGACCCTTCCAAGACTTTTAGTACACCTGCATATGACGTATTTGCGGTTTAAGGCATGCATATTTTATCACAATACATTCAGCTAATCGCAGCCAGAGAATTGTGGGGAGGTAGTAGTATTGCCGACCACAATTTTTCGCAAAGATGTCAAATATCTGGTCGTTAAAATAAATTTATTTTCGGAAATTAACTTTGATTACCTTATAAATTTGTAATGCTGTTATACAAAAATGAAACGTACGCAAATCGTTAATACATTTTGTAAAAGCCTCAAAAGGCTTGTTCAGAGTAATTGTATATTCTGACCTAAAATAGGTGATTTTAAAGCCTAAATATCCCAAGTCTATCCAGAGTCTCGAAAATGTTGGTAAATAGCAGAGAATGAATGCATTTGCCATTTGCAATAATACGCAAATAACCTTTTTAATTTTTATTTTTTAATGTCTAAAAACAGTACACAACTGATTGTGAAGGGAAACGTTTGTTCTTCACTGATAAATTAGTTTTTGTGTGCCCAATACCGAGTAAGAGTTCTTAACAAAAGTCAAAGTTATATTCAATACTGTATTACAATTAGGAGTCATACATTAATACTCCGAAACATTTGTTATTGTACTCATTACGTTTATACAGATAAAATATATTATACAAAGTGAAACTGTTTACAACCGTATGTGCCAGAAAAAAAAATATTACCATTGGGGTGATTGTTACCAAGTTTGAAACGGATGTTTTTGAGCAGCAATTTAAATTAGTGTAGTTATATGCAAAATGTTACTGCAAAATGTGATTTTTCAGACAGCCACTTGTAAAATCGGATCATTTAGGCATGTACAACGACCTAAAAGTCAATTTTTTTTGCATTAGTGCTAAAAGTGAGACGATTGTCAGGTGTTCAGATGTATTTGTTAATGCAACAAAGAAAAATAATTTACTCTGACCGTGTTAGCTACAACAGACCTTACTGCATCTTGAAGTGATTTTAAAACTTGAAATAAAATAAAGTAAAAGTCACTAAAAAATCCAAATATAGTGTAAAAAAATAGTGTATTGCCACGTGGTAAAAGTTATTTTAATTTTCTCGTAATTTTACGCCTCTCGGTCTTCACTTCATGTCGCACTTCGCTTCATGTCGCAAACTTTCCTATTCGCAAAATAAAACGCCACTTTTACCACTCGCATATAAGCAACTATTACATAAAATATTCAACTATTTGCCGCGATGTACATACTACATGAACAAATTGAGAAATATACAAGTGAAGGGTAATATGGAAAGGAAGTTAGATGCTGGATCATTAAATACACGAAAATTTAACAAAAGAAAGATTTGCATCTTGTAAAATACTGTACTTTATTCAGATGATCATATCCATCACTTAATTCCAAGCATAGTAATATTTATTACAAACTATTATAAATAAATTAAACGTCATTGCTCATTAAATAAAAGTCACATTTTTGAAGGAATGAATAATGCACAATTAACTTATGCATTTCACAGAAAAGTGCAAGTCTCTTATGCTTCAAAGTCAGGAAATCATCTTCTCCATTCACATACTACTTAAAATTGTTTAAGAAATATGAAAATTATTATAGCAGGAATGTAAATAAAATCCTAATTGTGAGTGGGCCCACTCATTGATAAGTATATTTTTATTTCATTTTGCTGGACAGAACAAAAAATAGTACATTTTTTAATTAAAGTAAGGTCAGAAAGTAGACACATGATGTGGAAAAGCACAATTTCACTGACTGGGAGCATAGTTAAGATTCAAAACATATTTTGAAATGATATTTTATACGTCAACATGATATGTTGAAAATTCTCTTAAAGCAGTATTATTTATACAGACAGGATAAAGAATTAAAATTATAAATAAATGTACATATAGAATACAGGAGTCATATATTTACGTACAATAATTGTTTCAACAACAATCTTCGAAACACTGAAATTATGTCATGGAGTCTCCGCAGAAGGGGTTCCGACACATGAACCTACGGGGTGGGGAGGTGCCGAGGCGACAGTCACGCGAGCGGTGTGAGGTGTCTGGGGGTTGCGTGGGGATGAGGTGGGAGGGTGGGAGGCAACCCTCGGCGCTTTCTGCCCGCGTCTCTTCGGATCGAGAGGAGGCAGGCGGGCAGCAACGAGTCTCCGCCTTCCTTCGCCGCTTATCTTTTAGGCCACGTGCGATTCCGTCCGCGCTAGAAACGGACGCGTTAATAAAACGAAAGAACGAGCTCGCACTGAACTTTCCCCCGCCTCTTCCAAAACGAAGCAACCGATTGGTGAGGTAGCGTTGGAGGGGGGCGGATCGCCAATGTGCTATCCAATCAACAGCAAAATTTGTTGGTTCATTAATTCCGGAAAGTGAGCTGTCGCAAGACAGCGCTCGAATCAGAGCTGGTGACTCGATTCGCCGGCGGAGGACGCGAGAGGGCGCGGGTGGGGAGCACTAGGAGGATGGGGAGGGGGTGACGGGGGGGAGGGTCTCCCCGGCGGAGGGCGGAGGGGAGGGCGCGGCGGCCGCCCTACTTGCCGAAGCAGGAGACGGCGTTGAAGGCGCACTGCTTCCAGTAGCTGCGCTTGCGCTGCAGGTCGCTGACGTCCATCTGGCTGCGCAGCCGGTTCACCACTTGCTTGGCGAAGAGGTAGTTGATGAGCGCGGTCTCGACGCTACCATCGTCGTCCACCAGCTGCTGGAAAAAACAAGGAAGCGCCGGTGAGCCGAGGCGGGTGACGCACAGCACTTCGCGTGGAAACATTTATATACCATTAAGACCAAAATTCATTTAGGCTTGCGTGGTAATCCCCAATAGTATGCGTTTGGTGTTCCACACAAACTGGTTTTCCCAAAAGTAGCACACAAACTGCTCAACAAATAAAATTCTATTTTATAACACGTATTGCATTATACATATTCCTAAAACATATTTTAAAAAACAGTGTTCAGAATTATAGCATGCGTTTGGTAAAAGACAAATGTTTGCAAAGATTTAGTAAGGTAGCTTATATATTATCCACCGAAAAATATAACAATATACAATTAATCTAGTACAAGTGGCCAGCAACAACAAAACTGCAGCTGAACAAAATCACACAAAATGGTTTTACAAAAAGTAGTACACACGACTCAACAACAACAATTCAAATACTATTTTATATTACGTATTACATTATACACATTCCTATAAAATATTTTAAAAACCGTGTTCCGGATTTTAACAGAAACATCGAGTAGTATATTGGGTATTTACATACCAAGAATGTCAAAAAAGCAGTTCTGTAACGCAACACGAGATGATTTAATGATGGACGGCCTCTTATTTGGAGTTCTAGCTTTGTTCACTGAATGTAGTACCCCTTTTCATTAAAAGATTTGTTTTATTATACCATCATGATTATATATATTGAAATTGTATTAATTTTTGTAAACATTTCTCTCTAAGATTGAAGTTTGTACGGTGGGTCAGAATCGTACATATTTTCAGGCGACTTTATCAGGGTATTTCGAAAAGAAGATAAAGAGTCCAAAATCATTTGAAATTCGCTATATTGCTCCCTTATAGATGATTAATAATTAAATAATTTTCGATATCTGTACATATTGCAGTTTATCGATCGTGAAAATAATAGTATGAAAAATTAGTTGTAATACTAATGGAATTTCAAATTATGTGTAGCCGGTTGAAAAAGAAATTCGCAGGCAGTACCATTTCTGATGTTGAGGTTATTTTAATACTTTTGCAAATGCTACCTAAGCACGTAAAACAAGTAAGTAAAAAGCTTGCTTAATTGTTCAAATATTAAAAAATGGTTTCTAATATTTATTCACTTATTTACTTTAAACTTTCGAAAATTGTTGTACGTTTATAAGAAAGTAAAAATTGACACCGTTTGGTAATCGCGTAGGTTTGGCCAGCCTTTAATTTATGTTATTTTCCTTATGTATTAAGTAGAAGAAACATATTTATTGCAGTTCGGGCAATGATTTGACTTGAAGTTCTTTTCATTTAAAATGAAAGGAAAACTTTTAATTTTTTACAATAATCTATGTTAAAAAAGTTAAAAAGGAAAGAAATGGTTAGGTGAAGAAAGACACTTAAGAAAAATAATTCAGTGATAGAATATTGTCTTTGATAGCAGTGTCCCTCTCACTCTGTGAGCCATTCAGTGCTGTTACACCAGGAGATTCTCAGATGCTCTGAAAATCAGTAGAGGTTTCTCAAGGAAGGGAATATCCTTCTCGCACATTTTCTTCTTTTAGATGTAACAATATTTTCTTTGGTATAAGAACGAAAATGTATATTTTTTAGTTCGTAGTTATCGGAAATTGTCTTTAATCGAGTTTGTAAATTGCGCGAGAGGAGACAATCCGCTATATTTGCCCATCAAAGTTTCTATATCAGGGGTTCCGACTTACAATGCCTCAAGAGCCACAACTAAAATGTTTAATGTGGTGTCATTCCTCGGACGATCCCACGCCTGACTTCCCTGCAATGTTTATCTCAGCAGTTTGTGCGGCTGCTCCGAAACGGGAGAGAGAGGGGAATGGAAGCATGTGTGATATCAGACCGGACCACTCATTCTTTCCCTCGATGAACGGTGAGATCCGGCGCCGACATACCGTTGGCTAGCTGGTTTTCCCCAACCAGGTACCTCCCAACACCAGGGCACCGCCCCAGCCGGGACAAGATTTAAGCAGCTATCGACCTGTCCCCGGCATCTGTGCGTGTGTAGGGCGTGTTAGTGTAAGTGTGTGTGTGTGTGTGTGTGTGTGTGTGTGTGTGTGTAAGAAGTGAGGATAGGACAATGAAGAGGTAGGAAAGATCGCGCGGTCTGTGGTCCGTTTGGTAGGGTACTGATCCGGCATCCATTCGCCTGATGTTGATCGGAGAAACCACGGAAAACTACCGACCAGAGCAGCCGGCCGCTAGAGTTCTTCTCCAGGCAGTGACTGAATGCGACTTAGCTGGCAAGCTAGTGTGGAAAATCCTGCCACCGTCGGTACTCGAACCTAGGACCACCCTGGCAGAGGGACTGCAGTGACATAAGTTGATGGCCTGAGCCACATCTCACGGTTTGTTGAATAAGAGATTGTATAGATATATGAATGATGAAGTAACTTGTCGGCAATGAGAGGAAGGATATAGATCTGCGCGTGTGTAGGGCGTGTTAGTGCAAGTGTGTGTGTGTAAGAGGAGAGGATAGGACAATGAAGAGGTAGGAAAGATTGAAAGATACAAGTCCCAGGAAATTTTCGCGAATGTGCTTAATCCACCACAAATTCCACTTGGCTCAACCGGGATTTGAACGGGGGTACACCAAGGGGTGGAAAGTCACCGCTACCCCACGGTTCGCCCTATTGACTCAAGGTCCGAAACGGCGAAGGCGAGCGTTACGACGCGCCGCTGTCCCCCGGGGCCTGGCACCGGCGGGCGTTCTCTTCCGCTCGCCCGCGCGCCGCTCCGCTTTCCTTGCTCGGCCCTTGCGCGCCGCGGCACAAAGCAATCGCCGACGGGGCCGCGGCGGCGACCGGGGGCGGCCGCTGCGCCGGAAGTCCACCCACGCGCGTCCTCCTCGGCGGAGGCCCCGCGACGAAAGGCAAGCTATCAGCGGGCGGAGAGAACTGCAGTCATCAGAACGAGGGTACGTGTTTTTTTCTTTTTTCCTTTTTTCTTTTTTCCTTTTTTCTTTTTTCCTTTTTTCTTTTTCCCTTTTTTCTTTTTTCCTTTTTTCTTTTTTCCTTTTTTCTTTTTTCCTTTTTTCTTTTCTTTTTTTTCTGTATGAAGGGGAGAGAAGGTTCATAAGACGGCGATGCACTTTCGAGCAGTTCAATTTGCTCAGAGATCTTGGCAGGGTTAGTGTGAATGGCTTGCTTTACTGTAAATTAAGTCTTTATGCTTTTCAACTGTTTGTTGGTTGGTTTCGAGCAAGAGTTTGATAGTTTATTTTTAAGAAAGTTTGATTTAATTCTACTACGTGACGAGAGCGTTATTCACATCATCCAAGTAAGTACAGTTATTAGTTTGTTATGTTGTTTGGTTTAAATAGTGATTTGATTGTATAATATTATTTTGTTCAGCTGGAGGCTACCTCTTGATTCGCGTGCTAGCTTTCCACTACGCGGCTCCGAGTTCGATTCCCGGTCGAGTCAAGACTATAGTGTGCGTTTTCCTTGGAATGTCCCAGTATATGTTGCTATGTGTCGAGAAAATTCACTTCTCAGGTTGAGAAGACCGGAGTACGGCGTGTGGATGTCTACGTGATAATCACATGTACCCCCTTAACCCTTGCATTTGACGGTTGATTATGCGCATTTTACGCAAATGTAGTGTTTTTACATTCCCCCTTTATTACAAGTATTTCGAAGCATTTTTCTCGCTGTGTTCTATTTGAAGAAAATCCTTAACTTGACGCCAAGCACTGCCAATAACGATTATCTTGTTATGAATGTGAGTGGTTTCCGTTACTATGAAGTCTTACGGAAGCTTTGTTAAGATTTCAGTCCCAGAATTTCCATGCTCTTTCCGTTTCATGACAAATGCAGAAGACCATACGAGGAGATAGCAAATATTTCTATTAACACATTTCTTAGAGAAGAAACTTCGAGTAAGGAAACGTTCAAGAGTAATTTTCATTGAAATGCAAAGCATAAAACAAGAGGGGGAGCAATTACCTTTCAGAACCTCTCTGAGCTTTCTTTTTCATTAAACGTTTTTTAGTAGTTATATTATAACTAATGCAATATAATAAATAAATACTATTCATTTTACGTTGAATCATTTGTAGTGTTGAAAGATGGTTTGGAGAGCCTCTTCTCCAAAAGTGTATCAATTCTCAAAATTATCGGCTTAAAAGAGCAAAAAAATTGGGAATATATTATACTATTTACGGAAATAAAATGTTTTATTACGTTGGGTTAAGGAGAGATTTTCGAAATGTTAAGGGGGGCCATCGCTCCCCCGGTCGCCCCCTTGCGCACGCCAATTTTTACATCCGTTGCAATTGGTATGTTTACCTACTGCGGGGGCACGGAGATCGCGGGAAGCACAGGCGAAGGCGGAGAGGGAGGGCGAGGGCGAGGGCGAGGGCGAGGGCGAGGGCGAGGGCGAGGGCGCGAGGCGAGGGCGAGGGCGAGGCGAGGGCGGGGCGAAGGTTAAAGGCGAAAGCGATGGCGAGGGGAGAGCGGAGGGTGGCGGAGGGGAGGCGCTGTGGGAGGCGAGGGGAGGGCGGAGGGAGGCGGAGGCGGGAGGGGAGGGGCGAGGGGCGCGGAGGGGAGGCGGAGGGGGAGGCGGAGGGGAGGCAAGGCGAAGGCACGCGAAGGCGAAGACGGAGACGGAGGGCGGACGCGAAGGCGAAGACGGAGCGGAGGCGGAGGCGGAGGCGGAGGCGAGGCGAAGGGCAAGGCTAAAGCGGAGGCGAAGCGGAGCGGAGGTGGAGGCGGAGGGGAGCGGGAGAGTGGCAGGCCGGAGGTGGAGGCGAATGGCGGAGGCGGAGCGGAGGCGAAGGCGGAAGGCGGAGGCGGCAGGCGGAGGCGGAGGCGGAGGCGATGGCGAAGGCGGAGCGGTGGCGAAGGCGGAGGCGGAGGCGGAAGGCGGAGACGAAGGCGAAGGCGGAGGCGGAGGCGAAGGCGAAGGCGGAGGCGGAGGCGGAGGCGAAGGCGGAGGCGGAGGCCGAAGGCGGAAGGCGGAGGCGA